ACCGCCCATATGTCAACGTAAGTTAGTGCAGCCTTAAAGCTATTCTAACTCATGTCAGACAATAAGTTGTTCTGTTCCTACACAATTTATTGCACTTCTTACAAAGAGTGCAAGGTCAGTATTGTGCTGGGAACAAGAAGCATTTTTTTTTTTTCTAACAATGAATGCATGGTTGAACCAACTTGTCAGTTACTTACTGAGAACTCTATCTCTGTCTCATCCTTGCTGTTCTTGTCCTCTCTTTTAAGGACTCTTCGGAAGTCTTCAACCATCTTCCACACGAATGTAAGAAGTGAATCATTGTAGGAGTTCTTAGCAATCTGCAAGTTCTTAAACACCAGGCTGCTAAAGTTGTTGGTGTACAGCTCTGTAAGGACCTCATTAGTGAGAAACTTCCTCAAATTCAACCCATTTTCCAGGAAGAGACGGACAAATTTGGGCCTGTCCTTTACTAGGGCCATGAACATGACATCCTGAAGGTCAGCAGACTGGAGGGGGGGGGGGGGGGGGGTGGAGGGGGGAAAAAGCACATATATTAAACAGGAGCCTATATGTAGAGGTTGAGCAAAGAGTTGTCTCAAGCAGAAAAAGAGAATTAGTTGATCATGAAAAATAATTGACTTTGCAAGCCCACAGATTTCCACATCCAACCAATGATCTAGATACGATAGTGCCCTTTTTTTTACCTGGCATAGACCTCTTGAACCGAGACTGTCAAAGAGGTTAGACAGTGGTTTTATACCATGCACAAGTTTAATAGAACAAATCATCAAGACTAATTACATATATAATTTCAGACATGATTTGAACATAAAACACCAATATGAAAAGATTCACTATGCTAGTCAAACTATCTTTACCCATTGGCACAGTTTTGCAAGATCCAGACAAACATACCATATATAAAAAATTATCCTGCTTTAACAGAGTGGTCAGAGACGGGTTGCTACTCTGGAGCACGTATCAGGTGAAGTTCTGTAAGTGTTTTTTTGCATCTCCTCCCATTACCACAATAAAAGTTAAACCAGGCCAGTTTACATGACAATGAAACAGCTGTAAAATTAGCATTGGTTAGTAGGCCTGCGCAAGTTGGCAGCAATCTGATCCAGCTTCGGATCCGGGTGCTTCAGATGGCCATGATCCGATCCGGAGTCGGGTTTCTGTCCAGACTGAGTTTCTGCCTCGATCCGGCCGAAGCTTTGGAGTTGCCTCAGAGATCCAGACATAGGAAATAATGGGGAATCAATGAAATATCTATAACTTTGTTGGTTTTTGTCCGATTTGGATGAAACTTTCAGAGATAGTAGCCTCTGCTGAGTGCATGAAACCTGCCACATTCCAAGATGATCAGTGCAGAGGTTTGGGGGGAACTGTACCCCAAATTCTTGAAAGCCAAACTCCTGTCACGGCTGTGTGTTACACCACAGGGGGGTCAAAACTTCAGGAGTGGTAGCTCTTACTGAGGCCACAAAGCCTGCCAAGTTTCAAGGAGATTGGTGCAGGCATTTGGGGGGAACTGCACCCCAAACTGCAGATAAGCAAATCTCGTGCCATGGGTGACACTGTGTGTGTGAAGGCACAGCGAGGTGACAGCTGCAGGGATGGAGGCGCCTGCTGTGACACCTGCCAGCTGTGAAGGAGATCGGTGCAGGGGGTTCTGGGACCCTGCACCCCTAGCTGCTGACAGGCAAAATTTGTGCCAAGATTGTCTCTGTCTTGGGGCACTTGATTGTCTGTATTGATTCTTTCCTCTCCTTAGCCTGGTTTTGTAGGTGCTAATTACAGCTCATTAAGTCATTATGTAGTAGCTAGGTCCTGTGTATTGAGCAGGTCCCTGAGTCCCTGAGTGAATCATGATTGATGGATTGGTAACTGGTATCATAGCAGCTTAGCAGCCAGGCCTGCAGTAGTGTCTCCCCTCCCCGCCCCAAGACAGACACAGTCAGTCCCACAAGCACCCATGGCACCAGTTTTGCTTGTCCACAGCTTAAGGGGCAGTTCCCCCCAAATCTCTGCACCGATCTTCTTAAAACTTGGCAAACTTGATCCTCTCTGCAGAGTCTGTCACTCCTGAAAATTTCATCCAAATAAGACAAAAAACAACAAAGTTATAGGTATGTTATTGTTTCCCCATTATACCCTATGGCCAGATCTCCGAGGTGGCTCCGAAGTGCTTCAGGAAGCTGAATGAAGCCAGCGCTTCAACCTGGATGTGCTGCTTTGGATCCTGAAGTGTCCAAAGCTTCTCCAGATCCGAAGCCTCGCACAGCCCTATTGGTTAGCTTCCACTTACTCCTGAACAGAGCACACACAAAACAGGTACAACAGATCAGCTTGAAGCCTAGTAGGTCACCTCCTCTGCTTTCCAATCAAAATAGCTGTTTCATCTTTCCATACCTACACATTACCCGACCATCATTCCTTGCCCCTACACCAAACCAGTTAAACCAGCATCTGTGAGAAAAAAGCAAGTTCAGTTCTTCAATTACACCACCAGCACCCATTCCATAAACAGGTCCCATCAGGAGGTGCTTAAAGATACTTTCAGATTCCCTTAACTGTTAAGGTTTTTGCTTTTTTTTTTAATTATATAGTCACAACTGGGCAACCAGCAACCACACTAGGAAACAACAGGCTGTGCTTTTAGCCTTTGAAGACAGAGGGAGGGGGAAGGGCCAGGTTTGTTGGATACTTCTCTCTCTCTTCTGTTGGTCATATTTTATCACTGAGACATAGTTAGACATGCACAACAATACTATGGCATTTTGCTTGTGATCTACATTTCCTTAAGAAGCCAGCTGACTTCTAAAGAAAGCTGTGATTAGGAATTTCTCCATTAAAATAAAGTGACTGTGTTAAATAAGCATGAACTATTACCTACAGCGATATTCTACTTTAAACCCCACTGTTAGGGTGACAATATTTGGATCTTGGGGAGCACTGGATTTGCAGCTGAATAAAATGCAATATATTACCTGTGGCCTAGCAAAAGCTGCTAACCACAAGGCAGAATGATATCTAAGCCAGCCATTTGCTTATGCTAAGTAACCATCTTAACTGTGTCAACCATTTTCTGAGAAAAAGCAGCAAGTGAGTATGTAAGTCTGTGTGCTGTGAATGAGGTGAAGCTTTAGGAATGTGGAAGATGGTACAAACTGGGACAGAAAAACAGACTGGAATGTGAAAAACAACACGTAATTGGTAACAGAATCCGAAATAAACATATGCAAGAAGGTGAATGGTGATTGATGAAGAAGCCTCTGGAAGCTTCCAGGTTTTGGTCAAAGTCTGCCCATTGACTGAAAAAGTTAAGTCAAGGTCTTAGACATGCGCTCATAACAAAAAGACATGTAAATGAGTGAAGTGCATAGGCAATTCCATGCTAATGAAGTAAACAGTAAACAGAGGAGGAGCTTGAGATAGGAGGAGAGATGGGTGGAACAAAGGAGGAGTGAGGGTGAAATAAATGGTAATGAGCATGAATCAAGGTGTATAAAATGTGAAAAGAACTATTGTTTACTGCAGGTCCCCAGTTTGTTGTTTTTTTGGGACCTTTGCCCGAAGCTGTCTCCATTCTGAATAAAGCTGTTGTGAACAATGTGTGCAAGTAGTGTTTGTTCCCTGCTTGCTCTGGATAATGAGTAACAGGACCTATGAGCAATTGAATCATCGTCTCCCTAGTCATTGGGCACCGCATAAAGTCAGGGTCTAACACCCACCTTCCCTTATAAACACAAAACCCAATAACATGAAGACAGAACAGAACTTACTGACTATGATGATAATTTTTTAGGCTGACACTTTCCCAGCAGCTATATCTAATCCTTATCTGTTTTTCTCTTTTACGTGCATTTAAGCTGATAAAAGGAGCTCAGCTGACCTCCTTTGAGAAGGAGACATGGTATTTGGCCAGTAATTACATACGAGAAAAAACTGGCATCACCTTAGAGTTATGTATATTGCTACAAAGTGCCCAATTGAGAGATCCAGGGATCCATGTTTGATATAATTAGGTGGTTCAGTTTTTCAAGTCTTAACTTCTGCCCAAACGTTAAAAGAGAACATTATGGTCTCCCACAACATTTTTGAAAGCAAGCGAAGTGTGGGTTGGATGAATGGACCACAAAATGGACAGAAAACTGGCTGGATTATAAAGCAAAAAGGGTAGTAATTGATGGCTCAATGTGTAGTTGACAGCTAGCATCAAGTGGAGTGCCCCAAAGGTCAGTCCTGGTTTTTGTTCAATATCTTCATAAATGATCTGGAAGATGGGATGGAGTGCACCCTCAGCAAGTTTGCGGATGACACCAAGCTGGGGGAAGTAGTACCTATTCTGGAGAGTAGAGCTAGGTTTCAGAGTGACCTAGACAAATTGGAGGACTGGACCAAAATAAATCTCAAGAGGTTCAACAGGGACAAGTGCAAAGTCCTGCACTTAGGCCGGAACAATCTCATGGACTGGTACAGGCTGGGGACTGACTGGCTGGGCAGCAGCTTTGCAGAAAAGGACCTGAGGGTTACAGTGGACAATAAGCTGGATATGAGTCAACAGTGTGCCCTTGTTGAAAAGAAAGCTCACAGCATACTGGGCTACGTTAGTAGGAGCATTGCCAACAGATGGAGGAAAGTGATTCTTCCCCTTTATTCGGCACTGGTGAGGCCACATTCAGAGTAGTGTGTCCAGTTTTGGGCCCCTCACTACAGAAAGGATATGGAAAAATTGGAGACAGTCCAATGGAGGACAACATAAAATGGTGAGAGGGCTGGGGCACATGACTTATGAGGAGAGCTGAGGGAACTGGGTTTATTTCATCTGGAGAAGAGAAGACTAAGGGAGGATTTACTAATAGCCTTCAACTACCTTATGGTGGTTGCTACACTATTCTCAAATAGGATGGAGCTACAAAGAGGATGGAGCTACACTGTTCTCAGTGGTGGCAGATAACAGAAGAAGAAACAATGGTCTCAAGATGCAGCAAGGGAAGTTTAGGTTAGATATGAGGAAAAACTCTCTCACTAGGAGGGTAGTAACACACCGAAATAGGTTACCCAGACAGGTTGTGGAATCTTCATCCTCAAAGGTTTTTAAGACCTGGGTAGACAAAGCTTTGACTGGGAAGATCTAGTTGGGGATGGTCCTGCTCTGAGCAGAGGGTCAGACTAGATAACCTCCTGAGGCTCATTCCAACCCTAATTTTCCATGATTCTAACTTTGTTCAGTACAGAAGTTATCATTGTGGCACACAAGGAACTGGACCAAAGATCACCATGTCACAAAAATGAAACATGTCAGATACATTATTCAGGTTATTGGACTGTTTCAGTTCACATCAATATAAAGAATGACCTTAACTAACATCAGAGTACACTTGTTTGATAAGTTAGCGTATTCCAAGTCTGGAAAGCATTGGCATGCATTTTGCTTGCATCAAACTGAGTTGAAATGGCAGCACTTGCTTACCAGAATCAGAATTGTGTTGTATGGGTAAACTGTACCCATAAAATAGCCAGTCCTCTTGTTTTCCCCTTCCCCATCCCAGCAAGCTGTGACAAGGCATGCTGTTTTTACCTCCCAATGTCGGTCATTGGTGAAGATCTCATCGTTGGCCAGGTCCAGCTCGTTCCACTCAAGAAGCAACTTGAGCTGCCCATTCCAGTTATCTTTATCATGTTCATTGGTGCTGAAGGCTGTAGGAGGAAAGGGTAGCTAGGTAAGGACTAGAGTCTGAAAAGAGCCTTGGTATACTTTCTCTCATTCCTACCCTTCACCCAATCCCAGGCACAAACCCCCCCCCCCCCCCAACACAAAAAAAAAAACCCCATTT